GACAGCATTTGTGAACCTGGAGCAGAAGGTGTGGAAGATGCTGAAACAGTCGTCCAGCCTGAAAGTGTCTCTGTCCTCGCAGAAAAAGTCGATCAGCTCGCTGCCTTCCCTTTTTAGCTGTTGCCGACTGCCGCGGAGTGAGCAGAGAGATGATGTGGCATGCTGAGACAAACATAAAAACACAAACGTGAATAGGCACGAAATTACTTTTTAAATTACACACTTATTTAAAGATTATATAAAACTAAAATACTGCTATGTGTGTTACCTGCAGAAAGCTGTCCAGTTGCTGCAGCAGCTCTGTGTCTCTCTGGATGCTCTCCTCCACTGAGTGTGTGCGAGATGTCAGCAAATGCAGCTCAGCATCTAATGTTTCCAATGAGATCCTACCAAAGGAAGGAAAACACAAATCCATTTAGCCTCATTTCTGCTCTGGTTTCATTCATTTTGTGTCTGGTGTAATTTAAGTATCAAATGAAGGACTGAAAAGAAACCAGCAGGGGGCGGTGTTCACTCAGATTCTGTAGAGATGTTATAAGATAATGGAAAGAAGTATAACAAATAAATCCCACAAAACAGGTTGATGGAGAAATGTAGTGTCATGCTTTCTTGCTTTGTGGTAAATCTTTGTTCTGTCTTCACTGAGATATTTAAATGCTAGTGGTGTATATGGACAACTGTAGTATTTAATATGTGAATAATATGAAGTGATGTCTGACCTGGCTGCAGCCTGGATGTGACTCAGCTTGAGAGGAAACTCCAAGAGCTTCTCATCTTTTTTATGGGCTTCCTATAGAAAAACACAACATTTGTTTTTTGTTTTTGAGCTCCCAGAGGTTTAACATTTAGGTTTTAGAGACATTAAACTCAACATTCATACAGCTCTCACACATCACTCTGTGTAAAGAGCTAAACTAACTGATCCACACAGACAGTGAAACACCAAACGAACACAGGTGGACGAGGAGCCAAGAGGTCAGAGGTCAGAGGTCAGAATCACCCCATAAATTTAATGAAGGAATGGAAACCATCTGCAACATCAAAAAATAACCACAACGACATGTGAAATGGTGTAAAGGGGCAAAAAATATCAAAGATGCTCCATCCATCCAATCATGATACCCGCTCTCTCCAACTACCTCCTCTTGCTCATTTTGGTGGTACAGAGGTGCTCTCAATCCACATAAAGAGACCCATTCTCTACCCCAGGGTCCCCTTCTGGTAGACATTGTATGAAATCACCTTAAAGACATAATCTCACCAGCATGTTTAGGCCTTCTACCAGTAGGACTTGCCTGGAGCTCTATTCTGAGCCCCTGCTGAACTACTGAGCATCACACTTTCTGAAGCTGAACCAACAACTTGTCAGAATAAACTAATTTCCACCTGTTGTATCTGCAATTTTATTCTGAGGGTTCGAATTTATATCGACTAGTTACTCAACAGCTTCCCCTTCAGCTTCAGGTCTCGCTTCACCACTCAAACCATTTTCTGGTGTGCCACAGCCCAAGACGTGGATCTGCTAATTTTCATTGTAACCACTTCACACTGTGCTTCAAACTCCTACTGTCTCAAGAGCTAATTTCATTAATAGATTAATCAAAAAAAGGATTGTATCATCTGCAAAAAGGAGAGACGTGTTTCT